GATGGTCAAATCCAGGCTACAACCTCTACAAAGACTACTGCTGATGCAGTATCACAGATTAGTGACGGACAAGTCCAAGCAACGACAACATCCAGTTCAACCACTAAGGAATCTAAGACTTCAACCGACTCCTCTGAGGAATCTAAGACTTCATCCGACGCTGCTGAGGAAAGTTCGGAACTTGACATCACTGCAGTCTCTTGTAAGACCGATGGTACTTTGCAAATGAGCTTGGAGGACTCCATCTTGTACGACTCTCACGGACGTGTTGGTTCCATTGTTGCTAACAGACAATTCCAATTCGATGGTCCACCACCACAAGCCGGTGCCATCTACGCTGCTGGTTGGAGTATTACTGACGATGGTTACCTAGCACTCGGTGACAGTGATATCTTTTACCAATGTCTTAGTGGAACCTTCTACAATTTGTACGATGAGTCCATTGGTGGACAGTGTACGCAAATCAGATTAGAAATTGTCAGGCTCATTGACTGTTGAGCTACATAGTAATGTCATAATAGGAAGATGTAAAATGTTCTTTGTTTGAAACTGAAGTAGGGCAATAAAATGAACCTTAGTTGACACATTCAACAGCTTGTGGAGGGACTGGTTGACAGATTTCCCTTACAACTAGCTACGTGTTAGACACATTTACTGTTGAACTACGCCATGATGTCATAATAGAAAGGTGTAAAATGCTATTCGTTTCAAACTAAACTAGATAAACAAGAGAAATAAAATGAATCTTAGTTGACAAATTCGACAGCTTGCAAGTAAACTGGTTGACAATGTTCACCCAAAGACTCGTCGTACAAGTTGTAGAAAGTACCGGACAAACATTGGTAGAAGATGTCATTGTCACCAATCATCAAGTTACCATCGGTGCTGATGGCCCAACCAGCAGCGTAGATGGCACCGGCTTGTGGTGGTGGACCATCGAATTGGAATTGTCTGTTAGCAACAATGGAACCGACACGTCCGTGGGAGTCCAACAAGATGGTGTTGTTCAAAGTCATGGCCAAAGCAGTTGAGCTTCTGGCAGACTTCTGCTTGAAGTAATCCTCCACAGCCAAAGTAGCAGTGGCAGATTCAGATTCGGATGAGGATGATGAAGACGATTCCTCGGCGGAGGTGGAAGAGATTGAGGTTGTGGTGGCGGTCTTTGCAATCTCGGCTTCGGACAAGGATGACAACACTGTCTCGTTGGTCACCTTGTCAATGGCAATACCAAAGGTGATACCGGTGGCGTTGACCAATGCATCGGTTGGTGCTGGGTTGGCTGGGGTGAAAGTGGACCAGACAGAGTCCGTAGCAGGGTTGTAGAACTTTGTTGTTGTTGCTGTCTGGACGCTTGAAGTGATGGTACCGTCAACGGACTCGACTTCGGTGGTGGCAGCGTAACCAAGGGCAAACACAGAGAGGGCAATAGCGAATGACTTCATGATGTGTTGTATGAGATCTCTTCGACACTGAAACGACAAGGGAAAGAGAGAAAGAGGAGTGAAAATTCTTCATGTTCCCATTGAGTCGAGGGAGAAAGGCCTCGCTATTTATAAAGTTCTCGGTATCCAGATCACCCAGGTGACGCCTTACAAACTCTATAAGCAATTTAGAGTTTAAGAGGATTTACCCGATTGGGGAATTCGAGATTTGAACACGAATTACCGAAAATGGCCTCAATAGAGTGCTGTTGTGGCTGACAGGTGTGAGCAACAATCAGATACATTGGAGCACTGGGGAGACAACTTCACTGTAAGCTCGTGGTTTGGGTGCTATTGTTCGAAAACAATGGAACTGTAACCTCATGGACGAGCTCATCACGGCTCTTCCGGTAGATTGGTACACCACGACGGAGAGAGCGAGAGAGGTTGCCCAATTTGATGATTTCCAAACCCGCATGTGGCTCCACGCATACGAAAAATTCTGCAGCGAGGCCCGAAATGTCTTTTTATAGAATTGTTTCATGGGACTGCGTCGATCTGGCCGTTATATAGAGGGAGAGATCATGTCCTGCCGTGGTGTGCCAGGTCAATAGAAGCACGACCGTTGTACATAGTACATAATACACCGCACATGTCGGAGAGATTGCTCCTGTGTGCTAAAGAGCACTGGTAGAACAAGATGAAGTATACAGTGTTGTTTACCATTCCTGTGTTCCCCATACGTGCGTTTGGAGCTGGGTGTTGTTCTGGATACGGCACTGGTGTTATTGTAGATCCCTACTAAACCACCCGTGGGTGGTTCGTACTCACCACAACTCTTGGAAAGAACCAAAGCCCATGCTCAGATAATATGCCTTTTCCATGGAGTTGTCGGTGGAATGAGCACCCAGGGAACATACCCTCACACACAGGTGAGAATTCCAGTTCTAGCTCGTGCAATTAGAATCAGCTCAAGGGGAATGAAAGATGGCGCCTCTTGACCTTGTTATTGATCCTGCTTGGCGTGCCTATTGCTTTGTTTTGGTTTACCTTTTGGGTTGTTACCTTTTGGGTTGCGACCTTGGCAGGTGCAAAGCTTTATGCGCGGCCAGTGTCGGCCGTCGCGGATGGTGGAGGAACCAGCGAAGGGCAGAAAAGGTATTATGTAAGAGATTATATAATTATGTATTATGTAAGTGTTTATGTAATCATATATTACATAATCGCTTATGTAATTACGATCGGTACGGCCAGCACTGGCGATTGTGTCTCTCCTCCCGCATTTTGCTCAACTGTTGTCATTTTACCCTCAAAAGCATTGCCAAAAGGACAAACTGCGCTCCTGTTCCCTGTCGCTGTGCCTATTCGTTATGAACTCACACAGCGTACACCTCCAGAAAGACCACTGTACGCTGTTTCCGCTGCAAAGGTTCCCTCAGTTCACGAGACTGCCGAGAGAGCTCCAATCAGAGGTGATTTCGTGGTTACCGCATACACAACTGGGCCAGCTGTGCCTGGTGTCGAAGAGCTTCCACTCTATGGGTAAGGAGCATCTGTACTCGAAGATCTACCTCAATGACCGTGTTGTTGAGGTGTCGGGCGTGCATGACCTGGCACCGTCGTGGACTTGGTTCAACCTCCATGGACATAATGCTGCTGATAACAGGGACAACAACAACAATGTTGATGATGCAACTGGTGTCGACACCGATGCTTCGACCCTGGCGCTTGCGAACATCAAGCTGCAGATGCTGGTGAGAAGCTTGACAGAGAATACTTCGCTGTGTGCGCTTGTACAGCATGTACGGTTGAACTGGGACATTGATGAGTCGCTACAAGTACAGTTTGTAGAGTTGCTCTCCTTGTATGGGTCGTCTCTGCGGTTTATAGAGAACGTCACCACGATGAGGATGAACAACGCATTGCTTCGAGGTAATCACTATACACAACTGGAGACGTTGGACGTTCCCCCGTCAACAGACTCGAGAGGAGAGATAAACAGGCAAGTCTCGCTCGGCTACATAAGGGACGTTGTGCATGTGTTGAATGGAAGGTTGACAGAAAGCGTTAAACATCTAACTCTGTTCATGGATCCCGTGAAGATGTTCAATAACTTACACAGACTCAAGGCACCTTTGGAGTTGGAGAGCATAAAGATCCACCTGAGGCTGGATATCTATCCGATCATGGTTTTCGATCCAAGGACCGTCACGGTACGGTCCTTGACGAATTTCTTCAGTACAAAGACCTTGAAGTCTCTGGCACTGATATCTTGGGATGATCAAGTATTTGACCAGTATGAATTCATAAACAGTTCCGGGATGTTTCAATGCTGGTGTCCCTTTGAAAACATTGAGGACCTGACGTTCATCTCGATGACATTCGACGATAAGGGAATTGCAAAGTTGATCAGAAGCATTAAGAGACTGAAGAAAATCAAGCTGGATTATCATAGGCCGGATATCCATGTTAAAAGGGACAGCGAGGTTTACAAATCGTTATGGAGACATACCTCCTCATTACAGTTTGTCGACATCAAATTGGAACTAACAGATAAACTTCTACACTTTGACGTTCGTGAATATTCAACCTTGATAGATATACCGTGTACTTGTCCCATTTGTTCTGCATCGGCACAGATCCTCAGGGAACTCATACCTACAGAGACAAAGGACTATACAACGTTTTTGGATTTGAACATTTTCGATAGACTCCTGAAATCATCAGTGTCTCCGTATTCGAAATCTGTTGATGCATATCCAAGTGTCAATACTGGTAATGACACAATGGATAGCTTCTTACAATCGTTCAATAAGAAACTCGGATCAAAATATCGTTTTGCTCCACAACTGACGAAACCCCAATTTGAACTGCTATACACTTGTCTTTTACACTCGATGAAGATTGATTTGAAGCCCTTTATCGAGAACTTCCCAAATATCCATTTCTTGGTTATTAGTGGCATAAGCTTCGTCACAAGAATACAAAGAGATGGCTGTAAAGGAGCATTCCCTTTATTCTTCGTCGATAACTACTTTTCAAATTTTACGAAAGAATGGGATGAGTTATATTGCAAGAGAAAACACGAGAAGCAATCACTTATGTGAAACCATGAGTTATTTTCGTTGTTGTTGCATATGATGGGGTGGCTGATGAACTCTTGATGATTCTGTAGTGATCCTTGTTGTTCTTTATAATGAGTTCTCTTAGTTCTTCAACAACAGTGAGCTCCTCAGTTGGATTGGTTGACAATGGTTGTTTCCGCATATCAACGCTATCACGGAGCTTTACAGATGCCGTTGGTTCTACTCTCTCAGGTGATAATCTATGGTGGAAGTTGTACTTGATGCTAGAGAACCTTGCAGTCTTATCAGTTGACATTGTCAAGGTTTGTTGAGGACAGGAAGAGGAATTCTTTGATCCAATTGTCTCCTTGTGGATTGTCATTGTTTTTGTTTCTCCGGAGTACTCTTGGAACGTATCCAATTCTTCATCTTTGTCCATTGGTGAAAACATTGAGTCTCCCTCTGTACTTGATGAGTCTGGGTTAAATATTTCTCGGATGCTTATACTGGGTGGGCTTTGTTCATGGATGATCACCGTTGAATACTCATCTGGCTCTTGTGGTTGCTGAACACTGACGCTGTTTCCTCTCAAAAGAGTGAGGACTCTTCTTCTGACTGTGCCAAATCTGCTTGATGCCTCTATACCTATTACTTTCTTATTCTCTGTGACTGTTTCAGGTGCAAACTTCAGCTCGTAGTTGTTGTCTTCGCCTTCACTCTCGCCACCTGTGATATCGTCGTGATTTATCATCTCTGATGAGGAATCCTGTTTGAAGCTCTCTCTAGCTAGTGTATATGGATTCCAAGATTCATCGTTCTCGTCAAGTTCCAGTCTCGACGAAGACTTTGAAGGACTCAACTGAGAAATAATCCTGGAAACTTTACTTCTGACCGTGCTTGGCTCTTCCACTTTCAAGCTGAAGGGGATAGCATCTACATCCTCCATCAATTTGGCATAGTCATCACGCATATACCTTTGGGTCAACGTTTCGTTTACATCAAGCACCGAGGATAGATATCCCTGCTGGGCTCTTCTCCTTCTGGTTAAGCTTTTAAAGATCAACCCACCAATCGACTTGTGTTGCTTGAAAGTTGGAGCAGCCTCTGGTGTAGACGCCTTCTCAAGACGAGGTTTGGCTCTTTGTCTATGGAATATCCGATGCCAAAAGTGCACTTTTGTATCACGGCTTTCGCCACTATGAGAACCCGATGAACTCCCTTCCCGGGTTAACTGTCTTCTTCGTAAGGTAAACATCGCCGTTGCAAAAACTAATAGCTGAAACGTTGTATTAACTCTCTGTTTCCTCACTCCTAGAAAGCTATGATTCGAAGAGCCTACTGCACCACTCTATCCTTATATACTCCCTTCTCTCGGTGTGAAAGACCTCAACATGGTGAGAGGAATAACTTTTGTGTCAATCAACTACTACAGCTCTCATATACAACGCTGAGGTCTTTGTGTCATTCGCTCCAGCAGAAGCTTTCAACGACGAAGAAGCCAACATCGCATCAATATTTCCAATCCATGAGAAGAAAGCCCTCTCACCATGACGAACACAGCCAATCGCAGTGATGGAAACACAATCTTTGTACGCTCATTGGTGCGCTCTGCGAGACATTGACGCACTTGGTGATGTACTGCTGCCCGTACCATCTACTCTGCTTTTTGGTTTTTTTTACAAAACGCATTCGCGGAATCTTGGGGCCGTCGGCTCGCAATTTTATTCCGATTTGCACTCGATGGCCTCTGTCAGCTATGCCGGTGGAAGGGAATTTATCGTATTGGATGAATGATGGATCAGCTGGAGAAGGTTACCATTGCACAGCTAAGGAAACTGTGCCTGCTGACAGGAACCAGTGCGTGTTCAGAGTGTGTGATTTTGCGTTATTGGTTGGCTGAGTACTAACTCGAGAGGTAGGAAGCGGTGGAGTGAAGTCGCAGATCATCGCAAACATCAGACAGGATCTGACGAATAAGTCGTCGTTGACGAGACGATTGCCTAACGATGGTGATAAGTACCGCATCATATCTGTTGATATGGGGTTGAAGAACTTTGCGCTGACGAAGCTGGCGTTGAATAAGAGATTGCCCTTCAACACGGTACCGATGATAACTGAATGGGACAAGTACGACGTTCAGTTGTGGGCAAACGTTGGCACAGACGACACCTTTGAGCCTCAGAAGTATGTTGAGCCATGCTACAGACTCGTGAATGAAATACTGCTACCGAGAGGAGAGCCTCTACCTGATGCTCTGCTGATTGAGAGGCAGAGAAGTCGTAGTGGTGGTAGTCCAGTGGTTAATGAGTGGGTATTTAGGGTTAACATGCTAGAAGCCATGGTGCACTCCATGGTGTATTCGAGGATTTGTGAGGAGAGGAGTAAAATCGAAGTTATAAGTGCAAGTCCTCAAAGGATGGGCTACTATTGGAAACCTCTGGACGACGAGGTTAAGGGAAAAGTTGCAAAGAAATTCCGGGTGGGCTATGTGGAACAGCTCCTTGCTGATTTCGTACAGTCATCTGATCCAAAGATCAGTGTCGATCCACATTTTGCATTGCAGAAGTTCTCTGGTGATTATCTTTCCCAAGTAATGAACTCTTCGCAGAGCCATTCTCGAGGCACATTTGGTGCTGAGAAAGGAGATGATCTGGTGGACGCTCTGTTGCACGCATTGGCCTGGATCCAATGGCAAGCCAATAAAACTGTCATGAAACTGGAGTTCATCAGCGGAGTGGAAGATGCCATGAAGAAAGTTGACGAGTTGTACCAATCACACACTGAACAGATGGGTAACGCATGGATGGCACAGCAAAACAAGGCTAAGAAGGGCAAGGGTAAGCCAACAGTAGCCACTACTAAGCATTCGCTGAAGTACGATCCCAATGCTACAAAGGCTGTAGAGCAGGAGTTGGATAGTATAGAGAAATGAGCCTGAACATATAATAAGTGCATTCCATTTTGTAGTTTGTCCATATGTATGTGTTTCCGGGGCAACAACGGTAATAAAACAGCCAAGCAGGAGGCTGGAGAAAAAAGTGGATGAAAACCTCCCCCCCCCACGGCGTAAAGCCCATCGCCATTGACACATCTACAACGCCAACCCGGTAGAATAAAGGATGAAGAAGGCCATATTGGACCGTACGATGCTCTATCCAGCACTGGTTGTGGTGCTGCTCGGATCACAAGTCATCAACGTGATGAATGCCCAACGCAGTGTTGAAAGCATGGAGAACAAGTACTCTTTGAAGATCCGCAAATTGGAAGAGCTCACGGAGAGGGTACGCAAGGGAGAACATGTTGATGTTGCAGAGGAGATGAAGCTGGTGAATAAGACCTTCAGCAGAAGTAAGGCCCATTTCTCGGTGATGGGACAACGCGTTGCGTCGGCTTCAAAGGATCACACGTCTCAGCAGAACGAGGATGGTGTGTCTGATCTTGTACAGCTCTTGAACGAGGCCATGGTGGAGACTTCAACAGTGAAGAGGGATATCGAGCATAAGACTGAAGAAGTGAAAGAGGTTATACAGAAGGACATAGAGAAGATTCATCAGCATATGCAAAAGGAACGTGAACTAATAGAATACAAGTTAGATACAGATCAACATCTCCTGGTGGATACGCCTGGTGATTACAACAACGCTGCAAAGGATACAAAAGTGACAAAGTTCTTATGAAAATAATAGACATCTACTTCATTCTCGCGCTCTCTCACTGTATGTGTTCTGCAAAGAATAATAAACGACGGAAGGATACAACCTGTCACGGTGCGTGGGTATTATCACGTTGCGTTGTTTCTGTAATCTCTCGGACTCTGTGAATTGGGTACAGATCTTGGACTTATATGTTGTGGATCGCTCAGTCTCTTTGCTGATGTGACAGGAGGTACACTCATACCAACAGGCGTGGATTTGCCAGACGCACTTGGCTGGTTATTAGGCATTGAACCCTGGGTTTGCGGAGCGTTCATCATATGCTGCTGGAAAAATGGAGACATTGGTGATTGTCCAATGGTGAATGGTGAGCCTCCTGCTGACACGTTCCCACCATTTATACTATTCACACCGTTCACACTCTCGTTGGAATTTGGATTTAACGGTATTCCGTCTCTTAATAGCCCGGGTATTTGAGAAAGGAGCATATCAACTTTCTGTGCTGCGGCTCTGGCAGGGATAAAGAATCGGCCAATGTTTTGTAGCAGCACTTTGAAATTATTAGCGTAGTCTCTGTACATGTTGGACTCCTGTGGTGTAGAGCTTGTAGCGTACAAGATTGCGGCAAATGTACCAACAATGCTGAAATTAATGCACGTTGAAGAATGCCAAAAGGACTTGATATGCTCAGTTTTCAAATTCTTCATAAATTCTAAAACGGCAACAAGTCTTGTGGTTGCTGCAGCCCTGCAAACTTTTATCAGCTCAGGCGAATCTTCAGACGATAACGCCAGTATAATCTTTCTGTGAAGGGTAATCTCGGTAATGAAATATTGTAAATGGAGACCTGCAACCGGGCACAGCCTGTCGTTCGAGACGGGAGTCATTTGTAAATTTTGGGGCAACGATTGGTACCATTGTCTCAATTTCAATTGCAAAGGTTTTGCCTGTTTTAAAACTTGTTCAGTGGCCACGCTCGAATGCGTAAACGAATAGGTGTAAAAGTTCTCGAGAATTTCACTGAGTATCATGCTCAACTCAATGGTACCTTTGAATAGGTTTTTACCAACTTCGTGTTCACTCAACATCTTGTTATACTCATCTGGTGTCATTGTATTCATCTTCACTTGTGGTAACTCTGGGAAATCTTCGTTTGCTATATTTCTTACTATCCAATTTCGACCCAACGTGAAGTGTGAAACCCTCGATTCTGTCAATGCAGTCCATTTTTCCTGGATCCAAACAGCCCAAGCAAGACGACGACGTAACCCACGTTCCCATTTCGGTAATTTCCAGTCGTGGCAATCCAATCCAAGACCTAATTCCTCCGCTAGTGAAACAACCTGCTGACACAATATCCAATTGGTTGATGATTCTGACCTGCATTGTAATAACAGCAATCCTGCTTGTACTGCACTCAGCCTTGGTCTTTCTGTAACTTCTGAAAATGTCCGTATGGCGATTTCATTCAACGCATCGATATTTGGTCTCTGATGTTGCGCCAACATCGGGTCAAAATCCCACCATTTACAAGCGAGGGAATACACAGTGGCCAATAGAGGTGCAGAGAACTCACGATAAGAGCGTGCATACTTCTCTAGAAACACCTTCTTGTGCAAAATGGGGAAAGCAGGGTGAATCACTTTGAAGTAGAGATGTATTAGCGCCATTCCATGTGGAGTAACAAGGCTTTCAACTTCATCAACTTGTCTTTCAGCTTCTTGTGCCAATAGATCTGTAAAATCGTCTCTCAGAATAAATTGAACATTAGAGGACACTTTCCTCAGAGACAAAGTCCTAGATAGTTGCACTTGATCAATCTTGTCCAATTTAATCTTGTCCAACAGAGAAGAGTCGTAGGACGATGAAGAGCCCACAAAGAACGATGACCTTGGGTATTGTAACACGGGATTTTGTTGGTGTTTTTTGAACTGTTGTTGTTGTTGAGATATAGAGAATACACTAGACGGTCTCGGCCGCTTATTGGACTGTTGATCCTCTTGAATAACACCCATGTTTCTCTTCAAAATTGGATTAGAGGGGCTCTCAGTGTACGTACACTTGAGTCCCTTTGACTCGCAGTGTGAGCATTGTGTGGCACCCTGAGCTGCGACGCATTTAATTTGACGACGGCGACAGTGGTCGCAAATCTTTGGCTGTCCCTGTTGCTGTGGTTGTTGTGTCTGTTGAAGTGGTCCCTGTGGTTGTGATAGTAGCGGTTGACGTGGTTGGATCTTTGGCGGCTGAGCCCGTTGCTGTGGCGCTTGACGCAGGCTCTGTTGTTGTTGTTGTTGTTGTTGTTGTTGTTGTTGTTGTTGTTGTTGCTGCTGCTGCTGCTGCTGCTGCTGCTGCTGTTGCTGCTGCTGTGCTTGTTGTTGCTGTGTTGATGGTGGTGGTCTATGCGGCGGTATCTGTTGCAGCGGCGCTCCCTGTGGAAGCTGCGGCGAAGGAGCAGTCCCAGGAGACAAGTAACTGTTCGACGGTGATACTGCGTCTCTCATTGATACTTTGTTCTGCTTCAGCAGCGATTCGTAGTGGTTGACCATGAAATCCTTCGGAGTGTTCGCCGTCTTGTTCACCGGCCCTGGGGCACCACCAGCGGTAGCAGGAGGTGTTGGCGCAAACAGAGAGGCGCCACTAACTGATGGCGTGGGCCCATTGGCATTCAAGTCACTGTTGCTGTGGCCGCTGTTGTTGCCGCCCTTGCTGCTGCTGTTGCCGCCGCCCTGGTCGTTGGGCTCATTGGCATCGCCATGCTGGAGGAAATTGTACGTCTCATCATCACCAACTTCAGGAACATCAAGAAAGCTGAAACCGGGACCAAGCGAGTCCAAATTCCACAGGTCCATCCCTTTGTACTTGTCTGTCATCACGCGTGCTTCCTGCTTTAGACGGCCCTCGTGTACTCAAAGAAGTGTGTGTTTGTATGTGTGTGTGTTATGGCGTCCCCCTTTCTGCCGGCTTAATTTCACGTCCCACCACAATCTCTGCCTCTGTTTTCTTTATCTTGTTTACCTTGATTTTTTTGCGCTGTTTTTTCTTTTTCTTGTTTTTGTGTGTGTGTTTTTTTTGTTTTTGTGTGTGTTCTTTTCTTGTTTTTGTTTTTCTGTCTTGTGCTCCGTTGCCAGGGAACCCGCGAAAAGAAGCGAGGGAAGGCGTCAAAGCAAACTAAAAACAGACGCTCTGTGGTGTTTGTTCCCACTGCCTAACGGTGCGGTCTTTGGTGCTTTCTCCCACTCAATTCGGCCCTGGAAGGGCTGGTTTGTAGGCTGGTTCTGGTACCCAGCCGATGCTCACTACAACTGCGTGCTGTGCTCTGTTGTGTGCTCTGCCGTGTGCTCTGTTGTGTGCTCTGTTCCCGTTTGCAGTTGGTTGTGTCTTTGAACTATTTACAGCCCGCGCTACAACTGTAGATTTAGCCAAGCGGCCGAATGTTGACGCTGATGATGACAGTCACCCAATTGGAGCCCTCCCACACGCGGAAAACGTGCTCTGTGCCCTTGAGAGAGAGGGCCTTCCTCTACAGCTAACCACTCAGCCCAGCCAGTGTAATGTGAGTGCTTAACCAGTGCGGACGCCGGTTTCTGCGTGCTGAATGCCTCTCTTTAACGGAACCGCCCAAAAGCACAGAATACAGAACTTGTGAGCTGCTTCAAACGTTAAGTGTGGGTCCTTTGCCTAGCGCCCACTGCTCCATAAGCATACACGCAGAGAGACTACACAGAACAACGGGAAACCAGCTCAACCAACATAGTTAAAGCCGTAAACAAAAGGCGGTCTGTTACTCCAGCAGAAGTAAGTGGCCACAAATACCAAGATAAACAAGCATACGTAGACTCTTCTGAGAAACAAAAACAAGAAGAGAAGGTGAACATAAATGAGAAAGAGAAGAGATAAAGAAGAAATAGAGCGCTAAGCCAACAGATAGCGTCTCGGATAAAGACTCAGAAGACAGTCATGGAAACGACGACCAGGACTGCCAGGTACAGTCCAATGTTGAGTCCAGCTCTGGACGCTCCAGCAGTGTAAGACGCTTCAACAACATGGATAACATCACCAGCGGTAGAGTCAGCGGCATCGACTAGGGCGGCTGTGGTCTCAGATACCTCAAAGGTGACAGCGTTATCCAGGATGTGGACCGTGGTCAAAGTACTCACTGAAGGTGTACGCTCGCGTTGGACAGATGTGCCGCCAGCAAAGAGGCCCAACAGGTCCCATAGGCGGTTATATTCAGCAGGAGAGACCTGCTCATTGTCATCACTGTTGTCAGCATGGTAACCGCTGTCCCTCTTATTGAAATCGTTATTAGCGCCACGAGAGGAGCGAGAGTTAAATCCACTATATGGAGAGCCGTTTCTAGGCTCAGCTGAACCACGCGAGCTGCCAGTGGCGGTGCCTCTGGAGTCTCTTGCTGAAGATCCATAACCGGCTCTTGATCCCGTGCTGGAGCCCCTGTTGGAGGATGACTTGGAGTTGGCGCCACGGTTCGAGGCGGAGTTGGAGTTGGAGTTGGAGGTAGATCCACGGTTCGACGTTGACTTGGAACCACGGGAGGAGTCACGGTTGGACTCAGAGTTAAAACCACGGTTGGCGTCAGC